TGGTAGCTCAGGATGGTACCCTAAAAATAGACAGGTTTCACTGAGGAATGCAAAGCACAGCAATGAGGAAGACACCAGAAGGGTCTAGTCTGAATGGTGCCCCTACTGGAAATAGTCACCAGAAAGAGGTGCCCCAGGCCCCTGGAAGGTGTGTCATTCAGGCTCAGCAGCCCAGATAATGCACATGTAGGAAAAAAACACCTTGCTTTGTAATCTAGAGCAGGAAAGGATGGAGGAGAAGCCTAAGAAACAGCAGAAGCTGATAAAGCACTGGTGTGTGTATGTGAACCCAAACAACAAAACCCACATCTGGCTTAAAAAGAATGACTCAGATCGAAAGTCACCAAGCCAGAGTTTATCAATTTGAGACCTACTAGAAGAGCTATTTTAATATACTCTCCCCTCAGCTTTCTGCCTCTGCTCCTGGAGGGGGCTTAAAAAATAAAATAAAATAATAAAATAAAATAAAATAAAATAAAATACAGAAGAAAAAACACTCCATGAATAAAAATAAGATTGGACTTCTTCTGTTTCCATGTAAACTTCCAAGAATATTGAGAAAGGTTGTCAACCCATTTATTTCTCAAAAATATTTCTCCTTCACTGTTCATGGCACCACCTTCCATTTGTCTTTTGTTTATTCGTAACACAGCTACAGTTTAAAAACACAACAGAAGCTATGCTATTGCATAATTTAAAATCAGATACATTGTGCTTCTCAAGTCTGATAAAGCAAAGCAGACATCTCTTAAAGCACTCTGTGGCTTGAAACACAAAGTTATCTTCCTGGAGTCAGACACTAGTTTTGTTTTCCCCAGCAAGGTCTCACACTTCAGAGAAGTCCAATTTCACTCTTAGCAGGTGGCAGTGTAAAAATACTTAATAACCCCCCAGTTTTTCAGAATGTTTTACTAAGGGAGTTGGTGTTCTGCTTTCCTCTAATTAAGTCTAATTACTTCCTCCTTCCATAGTAGGGTTTTCCCCAACTGATTTTGAAATAGTTGCTCTTCTGTATCACTTTCCTTTAAAGGAAGAAAGTCACTCTTTCATAACATCAGGTCTCCCTGGTCTCTCTGTGAACACTCGTTTAATTCATGGCAAGGACTATCTTTTATATCTTTTATATCATGGAAAGACATGCTTTAATCCTTCTCATCTTGTTTTGGATACCTTGCTCTAAAGACTTGTGATATCTAAAAGATACCTAGACTATCTTTTGCATGATCAGCTAAAGGTCTGCTGGAGCAGCTGGGGCAAACACACACAGATTTGGGCCTCTTCCACATTTTTTACTGAAGAAAGCTATCATTAACTGAAATGGCACTGACACTGAATATGCAAATCACAAGGCTGTCCTACTCTTTAATGTGGCAAGAATCTCATTATTTTATAGATACTGGTACACGCTCAACCTCAGATGCGCTCTTCAGAAATTCAGCAGCAAATCTGCATTCAAAGCTAGGAAGGAACAGTTTACAATTTAGCAGAGTAAAAAAAATAGTTCTAGGTCTCCTTCAATTCCTCTCACCTTGAGCAGCTCTGTCCCCTTCCTGTGAATGTTTCAAGTGTTCCAGTGCGTGTCTAAAAAAAATATGAAAATCTGTACTTAACATTTTAGTAGACCTTCAATGACAGATAATGTGTTAACATTCAGGATTAAATGACTGCATAATACCAGTGACAAATTTACAAGCCTTCGGAAATTTCATGATCTAGAAAGAATGATATCCAGGATTAATGGCAGTTTGATCTGAACTGTGAAGCTCTAAATGTTAAAGCACCAAGGATTTAGGCACTTTAGACACAGGCAGCCTTTCTTGGGGGGGAAAATAGCCCCCAGAGCATTCTGAAAGGAGCATTCCACATCATGTCATGTTCATCTGAAATTATCTAATCAATTCAGCAGCAAAGAATATCTAACTTATAAATACACATTTTATAAAAAGGCAAAAGAGGTTAGAGCATAAAAGGATGCAATGTTTCTAAACTGGGTACTGTATAACATATCACCTGTTGCTTGAGCTCTCTAACCCTTTTTTATTGCAAGTCTGTAGCATGTGCTAGACTCAAACTGCTCCAGACAGGAGCTTATTAAACCTACTTAACCATTAACGGAACTATCAACATCACACAATACAGAAGTCTTTAGAGCAAGGTATCCAAAACAAGTACAATTAAAGCATGCCTTTTCATGCTATAAAGCTATTTTATATATATATAAAGAATTATTTTGCAACTTGACTTGATTGTTGTGGAAGAAAAGGGCAAAGGAAAAAAACCAAACCAATGTTCAGAAAACAACATTGTAAAACCATGTTCAATTTCTGAGATGTGAAATAATTTATAAGATAATACACCATAAAGCACTCTCCATATATAATAGTTTATTCATGCCAAAGGACAGATCCAGTTGTAACTAATCAGTGGAAAAGCTTAAAGCTTAATGCAGTAGCTGCAGAGAGGATTCAAACAGGGACTGTAATTAAACTAAAAACAAAGTACCACCAACAATTAGGAAAGTGCTTCCTATGAAAAACAACAGTAATTTCCATTTCTAATTGCCTTCTATGATTATCACAAGTGTCTTTACAACAGAAGAAAGGACAGGAATTAGCATTTCCCAATGGTTAAAACCAATGAGCAAGATATCATGCTTAAAAAAAAAAAAAAATCACACATAAAAGCACTGAGTAGGAAATCTGTCACATAAAAGGATAAATAGAAGCAGTACCCACACCCAGCTAGAAGCAGTATCTGTTCTCAGAAAATACAAACTGGGACTGGTTTCATCAAACCTATGAACTTTAAAGCCAAGCCACAGGCCATGTGGGCATTTCAGTGGGCTTTTATGGCAACTGACAGCAACTGAAGTTGTGATAGTGGTAACCCATCAGCTACTGAGAATTGTTAGACTCAATCTTCAACAGCTGCTCAACTTTATACAGGTTTTATTCTTTCAGTTTATAAGTAGGTTTAAGCTAAAACTGAAGGTGTTAGTCAAAGCAAAACGAGTGTCCACATAGGGCTTAGCTCTAGTGAATTAGCTTCAAATCAGTCTTAACCTAAAGAAGGCCTATAGCTAATTCAGCCTTTAACATTATCAAGTAAATAGCATGAAGAATTCCCCTTTGGCTGGAAAAGATGGCTATCAGCCAACTCAAATGCAGCCTGTACCTAAACAAACCTGTCCAAATGCCCTTGTACTGTAAAGCAACTGCACATAAGGCTGGTCAGTACAAATGACCACCTTACCAGTTATTGCATCCTCTTCAGATGAAAAACCCTGTATAAGTATTCCTAATATGACGTCATTGAGGGGTGGAGGATGACAACCTGCAGCACAAGATCAGCAGAGATGCAGACGGGAGCTAAACCCAGCTGCTAAATGATTGTAGGTCCTTAGAGACTCAGGCATTTTGTTTAGTGCTAACACCAGATACAGGAGAGAGAGAGAGGAGGAAGGAAGTGAAACAGTAAGCCCACACAACAAAGTTTTAATTTAATTTCTGCTAGCATATCACTAGCATGCAGTTCAGGCTATGCCTGGTAAGAATAAATCAATACTATTTTCCTTCAGTGTTTTGTGAATAAATCACTCTAGAAAATACTCTGACCTTGTATCATCCATTTCTGTTTTATGAGAAGTAAACTACTGTCCTTAGGCAATGGCAAAAGTATAAAAGGTGGTAGAACATCTCAAGAGGAAATGAAAGGGCCTGAATAACAATGGACAAAACATTAAAACCCCGCCCTAACTTGATCAACTTGAAATAAGATAGCCCCAACCCAAAGATAATAACTTTTTTTCTAGTATTTTGGGATGTTCAGACCTGTATCTTCACGTTAGGTTCAGAACATGAAAGTTCTCAAGGATCCAAATTGGCAAACCATTTCTTCCCATAATAAAAGACTTTAGTATTTGAACCATGTAATAGCTAACTCTTAGCATCTCACAGGGTCAGGCAATGACACACATGCACAAAAAGTTCTCAGAGATGTAGCAGAATGCAAATTCTCTGCAGTTCTAGTCAAACTCAGAAGTTTACTTTAGTGAAATTCAGGTGCAACACACACACCACATAATAAGGTGCCAATCACAGCGATATGACTGTGTCTAAGAGACATTTCCACAAAAATGTCACCTCTACTCAGTAGCTGTCACAAAGCCAACTGAGGAAAGAATAAATCTGTGGTTTCCCACACCTTGTGAACTCTGCTTTTGTGGTTCCCACACCTCATTTAAGAAGGATGTTGAAATGCAGAAGACCCAGAGAATCATCACAAGAACCATCTACAGGCATGAAACAATGTCAGAATGGGGAACATTTAGAAAGATGAGGATTCTTCAGACTCCATATCAGAACTGAAGGGGCAGTACTGGACCTGTACTATAGTGACAACAGGACATGATGCTCTCCATCTGTTCCAATACAAGAACTAGAAGGCATCAAATACTGCTAGGAAGAACTAGGTTCAAGCCAAACAAAAGCAGGTGCTTCTTCACACAGATAAGGCTGGGCTGTGAAACAGGATGCTGTAGACACTAGCAGTTTACTGAAGTTCAGAATACAGATGGACACATTAATGGAAGAAAAGTCCATCAATAGCTGTCAAAAAAAAAGAAAAAACCCAACAAGTCAGCAAACACCCAAATACACACACAAAAAATCCAACCCCACAAGCAAAACACAGAAACCAACTATTTTGACTCTGACTTAGAAGTCTCTTAAGTCATAAAGACGCTTAGGGAACTATCCTAGGATAACACCACAGTTTAAGAACTGTTAAATTCTTCCCCAGGTTTTCCTCAAATGAAAGCTGCTGTCAATTCAAGATAGAAACCTAGAAAGTCCTTGAACTGTATCCATTCTTGTGTAGGCATCTTTCTTTTTAGATAATAGACCCCTTCTAAACATAAGCATCATTTTCAATGCAATTGCCCATAAATTAATTTCATAATGCTTCACTCACCCTCTTGCCTCCCCTCTCTCTCTTTTCAGATTAAAGAAAATCCAGATGGGGTGCAGATGCTGCAAAATGATACAAAGGTACAATCAAACAAGATTTGCTTAGACCCAATAAAAGAAATGCATTAAAAGATGTGTCTGTGCTCCTCTATACCTGTTGCTTAAATTAAGCCTATTTACAAAGTTGGGGTTTTCCTCCAGATTTACAGTATCTTTACAGTCTTGCCAGAGGATAGGCATACTGATGTCCTTTGAATGTCCTTTTGATTTACTGTAATTCAGGTCCTTTTGCTATCATTCCTATCCCACAGAAAATCTGTGTGGCATCGAAAATTCATCTCTAGCACCCTTCACTTCAGTAGAACAGGGAGCACAGACTTTGTCAGATCTGTTTCCTAAACAATGGAAATTAAATACAGATCCTTACTTCCATCATAGCTTTTAAATGTAGTTAAATGTGTGAACAATTCCCACATTAAACGTATCTCTTGAGAGGAAGACTAGCTATTTTTTAGAAGAACAATGCTTCAGCCCCACTTGGAAGTTACTTCTTCCCTTCGCCACACCTCTGTGGGAAAAGTGATAATGGGAAAATAAACTGGTGCTATGCAACACAGAGGGGGGACAAAGAAATGAGGCTATGGAAGAAATAAGTTAAGGAAAATATGGAACAAGAGAAAAACTTAAGTAAGAAAAGGCCAGGTTGGATGAAGCCTTGGGTGATATGGTTTAGTGTGAGGTATCCCTGGGCAGCAGGGTTGGAACTAGATGATCTTAAGGTCCTTTCCAATCCTAACTATTCTATGATTCTAAAAGAAAGAGGAGGGAAAAACGGGGGGGGGGGGAAGACTAGAAAAGGGCAAAATGGTAACACTTAAGAACACCAGGGAAAAAATGGGGCATATTTTAGCAATAACATGAAGACATATCAATGAACAATCTATGACTACTACTCATTTGCTAATCAACAAATCAACAGCACCCCCCTTGAGAAAATAAAAACATAAAGCTGAAAACACACAACCACCACCGCATAGCTCTCAGTCAGCCTCCTCATGCTCCTGGCCAATCCAGGGCTTAGTTATAATCAGTCCCAGGATAGAGCAGCACAGTTCAGCATTTCCATTTGGTCTAATTCATGCTCAGGATCTCAGGTAAAGTTTAGTGACAGCAGTTACTCTAGGTCTCCAGCTTAAAAATTAAGCTTAATTCTTTTTCTAATCAGATTGATAAACAGCATAATTAACATTTTCTTCGCAAATTTCTCCAGCTACATTTTTGATCCAGAAGAAGTACAATCACCTGGATGCATTCATGAAGTAAGCAGCTATAAACACAATGAGCAAGGCAGCAATAAATCCAAAGAGAACAGTGAAATTCAAGAACATAAAAATGAACTCCAGAAGGATGAGCTGAATGGAATAGAAAATAAAAGTCAGATAAATAGCAGAAAAGAAACTCTCTGGAATCATGGAGGCAATGATTTTCAAGAGGATGGCCTTTTGAAGTGTGTTGCAAAGCTTGATGTTGCAGTCAATGGTGGCACCTCCTGTGCTGGAGTGCACCCTGTGCTCAACCCCAACACAAACCCAGTGAAAGAGGCCAGTGAACAGGGAACCTCCAGCCAGTCAGAGGCTTCTTCAGCCAGTAGAGACTTTTACACCAGATCAAATAGGTCTGGACAAGAACTTGACCTAGAGGTGGGCTGGCAGAGGAAGGCAACATGCAATGAGCCAAACAGTATTCAAGATGAGAACTCCCAGTCTGCAGAGGACATCATCTTTCTTAAAGGAAGTGCAATACTGGAGACACAAAACAATGCCATACAACTGCCAGATATTAATTACCCCCAAACCAGGAACTATGTTGAAAAAGACAGCTTTTTAGTCAATTATGCACACTCAGACCAAATCACTGGGCCTTCAGCAGTGCAGGACCAGGACCTTTGTGTGACCCCACCTCCACCTATGAAGGAGAGCAGTATTGGACCTTTTAAAACTGACTCCAGAAGTTTGAGGGCAGGCATTATGGGTGGTATCACTGCCGTGGCTGTTACCAGAGTAGCACAGGAACCCACACACCCCAACCATAAAGACATCAATGGAGAAATGGAGGAGGAAGATGCAGAAGTTGCAGCAGCTCTAGCTGCACTGGAAGCTGCAACTGCAGGGGAAGACTTGGATGATGACGACGAGTACTAGATGAAGGTTTATTTCTCATACACTGGGTAAGATCCAGATTTTATTTCTGGATCTATGTATTACATGTATAGCACATGTGGACAGTTGTTATGAACAGCACATATAAAAGGAGTTTGGACTAGACCTCTGTCCCTTCAGCTGTTTTGTACAGCTTTTAATTTGTACTGCCTGTGGTACAGAAGCACTCCCTTGGCTAATGGCAGTACTAACACTTTTATATGGTACCAGCTGGGGGGCAGAGTGGCATTTCTTTCTCACAGGATATTCTGCTGTATACCCACCTCACCTGGACTCATGCAAAACCCTTTGGTTTTGACCTTCAGGAGGGTCTGTGCATACTGCATGTTCCAGGTTCAGAAGAATTCCATTATTTAAAACAGAATTATAGAAGACATGGAGTTAGAAACCACAGATTTTCATCGTTAGCACCAAAAAAAAAAAAAAAAACCAAAAAACAAACCCCAAAAAAACAACCCAAACCTGACCCAGAATTCCATGATCTAATGATGTATGAAATAAAGAAGGACAGTTCCAGTCCAGATCAAGCCTAAATCTGTGGCTGTACAGCTGGCATTATGACAAACTCATCTCTTCCCTTGCACATCTCCTGGACTTCGTTTGATACCCAAGTGACCAGCTTCAGTTCACTAAAACAGCAGAAGCCTAGCCAAATCCAAGAGAGTGGGTAACTTTGTGTTGGTTTAATGAGCTGAAGTAGCTCACATAAAAACTGAGGTGCTGGAGAGAGATCAAAACTCAGTCTTAACTGTATGGATAGGTTAAAACTGCTGTGAAACTACAGCCCAAGACTTCTCAATTGTGCTAAATTTTCCAGGCACGCATACTTGCCTTAACAACACAGTTTGCAAACAGGTTGTGTCTCATAAACATCCCCAGCAAGATGTGTTTTGTTTATATACAAACAGTGTGGACCCCTCCCTGGCTCTGCTGTAGTCCTTAAAAATTACAGCAGGAGAGGGATTGAGCTTCCAAGCTGAATCAAGCATAAGACCTGAAAATACCAGCTGCGTTCCTGGAGCATTTACCCTCCCTCTGATGTCAGATTACTACATTGATCTTCTGTGTGAGCATGGAGGAAAAAATTAGAGACCAGTTAGGTGCTGATTCATCAAAAGTTGGATCTTAATGGTTAAAAGTGCTTGACATTTTATACTGAAATGTGGTTTCCGTTTTAAATTCTTAATAAATTGTCTTTTATCATATAAAAAAAATTATCTGGCAACTTTTGTGCTTTATGTGTTTTCTGATCATATAACAGTTACTATATAACAGTTACATATAACAGAAGTACTATTACATATAGCCCTCATTAGATACATGGAAAGCACCGTGTATTTACCAACAGTATATGCTGAATTCTAGTCAACCATTAACATACACACAAAGATCAGAATATTAGAGGTGGAGTTTAAGAAATGTATAGATATTGAAATTATTTCTGTTTAAATGCAGATTCTGTTTAAACTGATCAAATGAAGATTTCAATTTCTCAAAACATTAATGATGCCTCTATGAGCAATTAAAAAAAAAGTCTTAGCTTCAAGAGACTATCTTGAAGCTCTTGTGTCTCTATTCAGTTACAGATGAAAGTCACAACATCGTATCTGTAGAATAAAACAGCTTTATATACTTGTGAAATACTGTAGTACTGTTGATTTCTCTACCACTTTCCTCCTTTAAAAGGCCCTTGTAAGCATTTTCCTAATGCTTACAAGTTCTTTGTGCACATTCATGTATCAAAACTTGCTATAATAACTGAATGACAGTGAAAGACCACTTGCACACTGCATATTATTAGTTATGGTTATGACAGCACATGGCATATGCTTTTATGCTGTGAGGGCACCTGAGAGCATCACCAGGCCTGGCTGTTCCTGCCCACATCCTCAGGACCCCATGTCAATAGCCTCTGGGAAGCATCTGATCTTGCCCCAGCTCCCCACAGCCTGGTCACAGGTGCTGCTGAGCTGGGGCTACCTGCAGGCTGACAGCCTGGCCAAGCCTCAGCCTGGCCCCACTGGAGATGCCCTACACCCGGAGCTGGGTAGCCCCAGTGTCCCCCCAGGGCCCTGCTCCCCACTGGGATGGCAAGACAGGTCTGGTTGTGAGGTCCAGCCCAGCTGCTCCTGAGGGAGCCCGCACTGCTCCCCACATCCCAGGCCCAGAGATCTGCCAGCCCCTACTGCACCATGACATGAATCACGAGAAAGGATTTAAGTGGAAAAAAAAAAAAATAAAAATAAAGAAATGCAAAAACACTCAAGGAAACTTACCCAATTTTTCAATATCGACTGAACTACAACCTGCACTTTGAGCACAAATCACAGCAAGTTTTCATCTTGCTCCCCAGGAATTAAGGCACACTAGAGGTGAGCAGCTTGTCAAACCCAACAAGTGTATGGACACTCCAAACCAAGCATCTCTTCTACAGGCAACTGCCTGCAATTGTGGACCACCAGACTTAAATCCCCCACAAGAGACCAGCTGGGCCACAAACACAGCACTTCTTGCAGCCCAAGTTTTCATTGTTTTAAATACAAGAAAGGCAAACTACTGTAAAGCAAGTATACCCGCTGTGTTGGAAATAACTGGTCAATGCTTCACTTAACCAAAGAAAAAGTTAATCAATCAGGCATATACACACCTCAAACCTGCAGGATAAGGAAACCTTCCATAAAATAAACCTATGAGGTATCCCCAGCATTCAGGTGTCACTTACCTGTTATCTAAAAGTGCCTTGTGCAGGGTTTGGTTTGTTTTTTTTTCCTTCTAAACCTATATATATAGTTTTTATATTTATGTATGTGTTTCTATCCCTTCAACTCTACCATGCCACAGTTGAGTGTCAGGAATGATTTCTTAGCCGTTTCTGAGACTGCAGTACACTTTTCACAGTAAATGTAAAAATCAGTTATTTCAGAAAGAATTTTTAAATACCGAAAATCAGTTTTTAAATAATTATGTGAGAACCAGATCTTACTCAGTGTCCTCAGATCTGATCCAAAGAAACACACACACTGCTAGCTTGAACAATCATTTTGCTCAGAAAATTGTGAGAGTAAAATTTAACATCTTGAGAAAACAGAGAAGGCCACAGGAAAAGGTCACAGGAATCAAAGTAAACTATGTGTTTTAAGACTTCTCTTAAAAACTACACAGTTTGATTGATACCTCTTTCTCTTCACCCCAATCACCCTAACTTCAGATATCAATCGTGTTTACTATATTCAGAGGCCTTATGAAGTAGAGTTGAAATGTTTCAGTTTCCTTCAATACAAAAGGAAATAACAAGCGAGTTGGTTGGCCAATATTTCTGTATTTGATGTAATTCTATACAGGTGAGTGTGAAGACATATGCAGCACTAAATAAAAGGCAACAGGATGGGAAACTATTATAAGAGCTGGTATTTCTAGGAAAGATTTTGCATCTTGGCACCTCATGTTTTACTCATTCTCCAAAACTAGCAACACAGCTTAAAAGGAAATGGTAAATTTTCCACATATAAGTGAAGAGCTATTGAGTAAGCTTAGCGCTTTCACATTTAACAGTGGGTCACCTCCAGATCATGAAAAGTATTTCAGATCACAGCAGGGATTTCGGATATGACAACAGGGGTAGAAGACAGTCCACCCAACTCAAGGAAGATAATTATTTCCTAGAAAAAACATTATGGGGGATGTTTGTTTACAGAGTAACAGTAGAACCTGAAATTTGATCCTGCAGAAATTTTAAGTTCAGTGAATAAAACCCAGACAAGAAAGCAGGAACCTGGAAATAGATAAATTCCACAAAATTTTTTTTCTTCCCTTTAAAGAATAAAGGCGATCGCCTTGGCAAGTGTTGCTATGGAGACTTCCCATTAAAAATTCAAATCCAGAAATAGAAAGTCTATTATATTCCTAAATACTTCAGACTTGATTGCTTCAGAGTAATCAAGAAATACCATTTTTATCATTTAAATGATGAAACAAGTAACACTTATTAAAAAAAAATCTTGACCTTACACTGCATTTGTAGTTTCAATATCCTAAATGTGATTTAATTTTCCAGAAGATTAATTCTTGCCAATGTAGCATATTTTGCTAAGTGAGAATAAAGTATCTCAACATTTAAGGCCTGTGCATGTGATATTTCATATATTTATCCCAACACTTATATTGCATCTGTTAATTACACTGAAATAATGAATTCTAATAGATTATCTTTACTTGTGGTATCTCTCCTTGCATGTAGATGGAAACTGGAATCCATCTAAACTGCACAAGAGCATCATTTCAAAATTAAACATCTTAGAACCTCTTTAACATGCTGAATGCAGAAACAAATTTATCGAAGTCATTCTAGATTAAAAAAGAAAATTAAAAGAAGTTCCATCAACAGAATTGTTTCAGACATTGTGTATTTCTAGGTTTTAGAATACCTGTTTAAGAGTAATTGTTAGAACAGATACAGACTTTTTCATTGGTCTTTCCAACACAAACAGTCCTTACCACCTTTAAAATCAAAGCAGAAACTCCTCAGGTCCTTCCCTGGCCAGGCTTTCCAAATTTCATGCATTTACATACACAGAGACCTCAGTCTCAGGACTCCCTTCTCCATTAACAATTTCACTTGACATCTCAGGAAGGCTTGGTTTTAAACTTTCCTTAATTTTGAACCTTCACAAGCATTTTCTAAACTTCAAATCAGGTAATCCTGGAATTGAACTAGTTGGATAAACACAGAACAGGAAATACTGTCCACACCTACAAATAAGAGCACTACTGACTGATCACTTCTGCAAATTCTGTCCCACCTGCTTTGGGCCATTTTCATTTTAAACCATGAGCTGTTGACATTCTGGATGAAGCAAAATGTGCATCCTGGATTGCATCAGAGATTGAAATAGATTATAGTATTTTATGCCTTAACATAGTCATGACTTTAAAATTTATAGTTAAATAAAATTTTAACATTAACATGGTTAAATCCAATTTTGTGACAGAACATTACTACACAGATCTACTCCTCACCTCTGCCTCCTTTACTCAGAGAAAAAACAATATTCCCTTGTACAACTTAATTCAGAAAACAGGATTCTGACAATGAAGCAGGAAAGACAATGGCTATCTTGATTTTGTTCTTAACCAGTTGTTTAAGTACAGATCCCAAGCAGTCATCTCACTACCACCATATAAAAAACTATGGGAGTTACACCATTTCCTCCTCTGTATCTTGATTGAAATTATTATAAACAGGATTTATCAGGTTTTTGCTGTACTTCGTAATTCAGTGACTATACATAACCAACCAAAAAAAAAAAAAAAATTACATTCTGTAGCGAAACAGGAAAAAAAACCTCCAAGTTTTTCAGGAAATACAGCATCCCAATATTACATCAGGTGGCAGATGACTTAAGTACTGAACCAACCCCACAATAAAACCATGTCACATGAAAACTGCAGTTTCATTTGTTTGCTCACTGAGCTTCCTTTTATTTACACTGAGCTAGAGATTAGCTTGATTTTTATGAGGGTGCAGAAGCAGAAAGGAGCAAGGCAACACCCTCGACTATTCACCTTAACCCCAAGCATGGCCAGATTTTCAATAATCTGTGATCACATATGCTATCCCTTGCTTTTAATGCTTGGAATTGCACCAAATGATAGCAAGTAACTTATGCAAAAGGAAAGGAAGGTAAGCAACAAAGGCAAGATGACTTGTATAAATGAGATTAAAATACTGTTTAAGTATTCAAGGACAAACTGTAGGGATCTGGACAAGAATGAATAACTAGGTTGTTTCCATTTTGTGTCTAAAGGTTGTTATCTAAATAAAACTTTCCTTTGCGTTTGAGAACCTCTTCCAGAAAAAAAAAGACAATAGCAAATAAACTCAGGGACATTCTTCAGATTAGTTTTTCCATACAATCTTCAGGCAAAAAAAGAAATAATAAGATCCATGCAAAAATTTCCACATTTCCAATAAGGTGTGTTATATGAAGAGACTTTGGCCATGGCTAAAAGTGGTATGAGTTTCTCCAGAATCTATTTCCAGAACTGAGGAAACATTTTTAACTCCATGGTATTAAAGACTTTTAACCCCATGAATTTCAGTTTGATATATAGGAGCAACACAGGAGCAAATCTAACAAGTATACAGCTTACTTTGCCAGAATAATGTCTGATTTTGATTATTGTTAATTTGTCATCATTAATCTCCTGTTTATGCAGACTTGCATACAAAACACACCCACAGTAAGCATCTGCAAAAAAA